GCAAAGCGCACCGCCGCTTTCGCACTTTTAACCTCCTCCTGCGCACTTTCCAGCGCGTCCACAGCCAGCCTAAGTAGCCGTTGCTCCGTGTCCTGCCAACAGCAGAACAAGATTTTCACACACCGAAGATCTCAGCAAGCTTTCACGAACGGCCTGATTTGAGGCTGTTTTGGCCTGCCAGGACCACCAACCACCAACAAGAAAACTGAACTGACAAGATCTGACAAGCTTTCACGGCCTGATCTGAGGACGCGTCGGCCTGGTGCCAGGCAAGCTCAAACCAACAACAGCGCAAGACCTCTCTGAGTCACCTCGGGCTTCTTGTTGGTTTCGGCGTCACCTTTGACCTGTCAGCGCACACATCAAGCGCCAACACAACCAAGCAAGTGAAGCGCGGCGGGCCTCGAACGGTCGTGTTTCCTGCAGGCGATACAAGGAGCAGATGCATTGTACACTGTGTACCTGGGCAGTGCGACGCAATGATGAACTTCCAAACCAGCCCCGCCTGATCTGGAGCTGCTTGGGCCCCGTCAGAAGCAATCCGTGATGAGGCCTGAAGGTCGAACCCAAGCAATCCTTCAAACTCCGAAGTTGGACCGCCAGCTCTGGCCTTCTCCGGGGATTTGTCTGAGGATCCCTGCAAAAGCAAGAATTGTGTACGAATCTCAAATTGAACACCGGCCCTGGCACGCACTGCTGGCATGAACCCATGTCAAACAAGCAACCCTTGCACGCGCCACGCCTCGCTTTCACAAGCCCTAAGCTTCTTAAGCAATGGCTCCTGCACAAGGGAAGGGTTTCAGGCGGCCAAGAAACGCTTAATGACGCGGTCCTCTGCCTCGGTGCCACAGGAACGCTTATTCATTTCGTCTGCCATTTCTGTAACACTTGCCTGAATTTGAACCAAACCTTTGCAGCAAAAAACGGCGCAGTCGAAGTAAGCGCAACCAGTCCATGTCCAAGCACACATACGAGCAACAACAAATGTGCAGGCCGCCTCCACGCCCTAGGTTCTGGACCATGAACCCGCCTGCCAAGAGCATCTCAGGCTTTCGGTCACAAAGCTTGGCACCACTCACGCCACAGTAGGCGAGACCGCGCCTAACCCCTGCAGAAGATGGCGCCAGTGATGTGCAAAGAAACCAATTAATCATCACGCAAAAAAATTCAAGAAAATCATTCCAAAAACTAAGCACATGCGAATAAATCCTTGCAGGTATGTGCGAATGCAAACTGCAATGGCGGAGTTGCTGGCGCTGCTGCAGCCCTATCGAAAACCACTTCTAAGACTTTTGTTTTCACAACCTTTCCCGGCCCAAAAAAAGCCGCGAAGCCCTACAGTGAGAATTTTGTGGACCAATTTCCAAGGCACAACACGTTGAAGCGTTGGGCCGCCAGGGCGTCCTCCAGTCGAAATGAAACGGTATAAGGCAACAACCCCTACAAATTTGGCTGTCTGGGTGCGGCAAAATTCAGCTGGGCACTAAGGCCCTCAGGATCGTTCAGGTTTCAGCCAGTAAAAGTAGTTCCGGGCCGACCTTCTGAAAGCCACCAGCCCGGTGGATGGAAAAAAATCCGTCAATAAAGATGGACTCACGAGGAGCTCATGTTGAACTCATGTGGAGCTCATCGGGCGCGGGTTCCAGGGGCGCGCGCTAGCGGGGCATCGAGGAGCATCTGCGGGCGGGCAGTCCTCGGGGCCCGGACGACGGCTCCGTGGATGCTCCATGAGCGGGCGGGCGGATGAGCGTCGGCAAGCGGGCAGTCCTCGGGGCCCGGACGGCGGCTCAGCGGATGAGGTGGAACTCATCTGCACTCATGTTGGACTCATGTGGACTCATGTGGAACTCATGTGACTCAGGTGGAACTCATGTGGACTCATGTGGACTCATGCGGAACTCAT